ATCACTCTCTCCCGGCGGAGAGCTCTGCAGAGAATTTGGGCTTCAACATCTACTGGCTCTTCAAGGAAGGAGCACGCCATGTCTGACACTTCCTACAGTCAGGTTTCCGACAAAGAGGCGGAGAACGTCAGGGTTAGTTGAAGTAAACCTGCTAGGGGGCAGGTTAGCTTCACAGAGTGTGTCGTCATAGTAACTCACTCAGAATTAATCTAAACTCGCTTTGTGAAACCGAAAACCCAGAGTTTTCGTTAACTCAGGGTATACTTACTCAGAGTTTGCACTAAACCGGCTTCCTGAAATAGGGCCCTGGTCCAAAACGCGCTGGTCCTCAGACTGAGGCAAAGGTTCATCAACAGGACAACAACCCTAAGCAAAGAGCCATGATACCAAAGCAGAGGCTTCAGAACTACTCTGTCAATGTCCCCGAGTGACCCAGCCAGACTTGAATCTGACTGAACATCTCTGGAGAACATCTCTTTACCCACTTAATGTATGCTAAAACCCTTAGCAGGATAATACTTTTTAAATTTAAAAAAGGTCTACATTACATCTGTAAAAGGGCTTAGGTCTGCTCGTGTGCATGTAAAAATACACCAAACACACCATATTTCTTTTGAAATATACCGACCTCCCCGACCCTCCACCCTCAGTAAAATACACATGGATATAAACGGGCCTTGCAAGAAAAAAAAAAAATCTTATGTTTTACCTGCTATCTGGCTCGATACATCTCCTTTTGGCTCTTTAGGGAGGGATCCATCTGTAGAAACACAGATAAAAAAAGAGCAACTGTTTTTATCCCCAATTAAAATGCATGACACAGAAATAAAAATACACATCGCAGCCAAAACGAATTTGGCAAATGAACTCACTCAAAACGAAGTGGAAAGAAGTCCTGTAAGCATGACTACATGAAAACATATTAAAAGAACAGTGTATCTTTTATTAACAGCATTAATGATAAACATCATATGAATGTTTTTTTCAATATCAGAGTTACTATCAATACCAGTGTATCATAAACACTGCAGATTAAAATGCTCCTACATTTGCTATTAAATAGAATAAATGGTAAGTACGGCTGAAGGAAAGTTTGTGTTTTAATAGTTTCTGGTAAAGTAGTGGAATAATAACAACTACGCTCTATGCTACAAAGTGATTAAAGTTGATCTGAGCAGGATCAGAATGTTAGCGATCAATTCCATGAAAATCCATCCCATATTTGTTGAGGCTTTAAAACTCCAAAGCACAACAAACACAAACTTGTCAGTTGTCAGGTTAACATGCCATCAATGTGGCTAAAAAACAGAAGACTAATCAACTGCCAGAAAACATCTCAACAATTAAGAACACTGTTTATTACCAGCAAAGCCTTGGATAAAGAAGATAAACAAGAACTGGCTGTCTTGAAAGGGCTTCCGCATTACTTAGGATGGAAAAATCCCCAACATTAATAAGAGAAGTGATATTGCCTTAGTCACAGGAAACACCTTACTATGGGGGGAAGAGACTACCTTCATCATGCTCTCCTCCCTTAACTAGTAAAACATTATAGCAAGGCACCAGGAACGTGATGATTCCCACGACCCCTAAACAGCATGTTCTGCTTACACCGGACCCAAACATGCCGGAGTCATCTTCTCATCAGCCTATAACTCATGACCGAAGCCCGGTGGTTTCTCTGCAAATTCAACAATCAGTCCATTGATGCAGCCTATAGCCTGTGAGTGAGTGAGGCCGCTGCTGTGACGGAGGGGAAGATACCGTCAGCGTCATGTGCTGTCAACATGTAAACAGGGTGGACGCTCGACTGGCTGACTCACTGACACATGCTCGATCTATTCTGACTCAGGATTGCTGCTTCCTGTTTAATGGTACAGATCGCTGCGCTGAGGCAGAGAGAAGCTGACTGTGGTACTGAGTACATGATCTATACCAAGTATCTAACAATATGCACTGAGGTACGTGCAGTTTGATTTCCACTGTTAGGCCAACATTTCAAATAATAGGGTCGGTGTATAAATGAGCAGAAGAATGTTTTTCCCCCTTTATGATATCACAGAGAGCGGATATCCCTAATATGGCCATCCCAGGCATAGATCTCCAGCTGTGAGCACACAATCTCTACCTTCTGACCCTCTCTTTGCAAGAGACAACCAATCAAAAGAAAATATCTTTAAAGGAAGGGCAAGGGAGCTAAAACAGCTAGCTTCAAACAAGTTAGACTGAGTGCATAAAGGCCTTTTCACATAGGAAGCAGTACCTACTACACTCTGAAACCTGTCTATCCTATTACTGAGCAAAGCGCAGCATAAGCTCATTGGTGAGGAGTACTCACGCATGACGTGCTGTGACCGACGCCTACAGTTGAGTCTGTGCGTATCTCAGTTTAAAGATCTTCATGACAAATTTACGTGCAAAGCAGTGTTGTGGAAACATGCTTCGAGCTGTCGATCCTGCAGAGTCTAGCAGAGTCCATCGCTAAAAATATGGAGCTGGAAATCAGCATTAGGGCGTTTTCACAGCTGCCTGTTTAGTCCTTTTAAAGCAAACTGCAGTTCATTTTCTCACTTGGTGCAGTTAGTCTGAGTACTGTGTGACATTGCAAGTTTGGGTAAAAATACTTCTGTACTGGGATGTGTTGAGGAGCTGTAGATGTTCAAATGTCAGTGTGAGTCGGCAACTAGATGTGAAATGAATGTAAACTCTCAGTATTTTCCAGTTGTCCAGAACGCAGCAGCTTGTTCCTGTATTTACATTTGTTGCACATCTGGCCAATAAGCGGACAGGACATTCTCACGTGGTCTGTAATGACACGTTGTGGTTTGCTCAGCGTTCACTTAGATTTTTCTCTGTGTAAAAAGAAACCAAATCACAGGGAAAAGCTACACGTTTACAAACTCATCCAAGGATTCGGACCAGAGTAAACAAACAGGTGTGAAAACACCCTCAGTGTAGAAGCTCATTTGAGACATAACTAGAGGCTACCTGGATCCCTCTGAGGAAAGCATGCAAATCATTTGTGTTGCGACACACTTTTGTTTACCAGGAAACCCTTTCGGCCCGGATGGCACTAAGGCATCCCTGTAAATTTCTACACTGGCATTACAGTTCCTCTCTTACAGCTGAAAAAAGATTTCTCTGAAGTAATAGTTTAAGCCGCATTAAATAAATTCCTTAAATCACACCCAGAAGAGTCCGCTTTTAATTAAAGCAGCAGCAAAACCTGCTCTTCACTGAACTTGCAAACTTATGAGACATCTATCCAACATATACCACGTTCATAATCAGGTGGTTTAAGGTAAGAAAATGAAATCCAAACCAGGAAGTCCAACAGCAGAATAATGCTCTGGACAAAGATTTATAGCACTCTTTGACAGGATTGCAATTATTTTTCATTAAACAATGATCCATCAGGAATCTGCACCTGCAGGTGTGTGACTGAACAGTAAAAAGCAAAAGCTGCACTAGTTTCAAACTTTTAGCCAAGATTGAAACTAGTGACCCTGCTTTGTTTTGCTAAAGTCTTCTTTAAGGAGGTCCAGCCTGGCTCCATTCATGCAAAAATCAAACATCTTCTGCTGTGAGCTTAGGTAGTAGGTAAGCAACATTTTGCTGGTGGCAGTTCTCAGTAATGAACATTTAGCAGCAGAGTACACATAAAACTACACAAGACCTAACTTGCAGGCAACAGCAGCCTCACGCACAAAACACTGCATGGGAAAGTAGAGCCGAGCTGTCGAGAGAAGGCCAAAGATATCAAGGAAATGTTCTCTAAAGCCGTGTACCTGGAAAAACAAAATCTTCACAAAGACTGAAAGAGGTGAAGGGAAAAGGCAAGAGAAAGACCAAACACCTACATACTTCACATATTTGCCATGCCAAAGATGTCCGCTTAAGCCACAGTGTGCAACAATGTAATACCAGACTTACAGTAGTGGCAGCCCACAGCTTATCCCAATCTAAACAACAACACTTGTAGCTGAGCCAGTAGTCAAACATGCATGAAGGGGGGGTAAAAACACAACACGTGTGCACGAAAACAGGCTTTTCCTCTGCGATGTGGCCGTTACAGCAGTGGGTTAATCCAACCGCACACAAACAGACATGCATACACTCTGAGCCAACTTTGTTAAGACCATAGTAGGATAAGCCCACTGCTGAACCGTCAGCCAAGCTCTTTGGATGAACTTAAACAGAGCTCGCACACATACACACCAAACGGCTTTTGAGGAAATGACACGGCGAAAACTCCAACGGCCCGATTCCCATTGAACAAATCCAAACTTTCCTCTCCCAAAAACTGAGATAGAGTGAACTCACCGAGCCCTGCTGAACACTGGCTGCACTGTATCCTTATGGAGCCCCTTAAAAAACAGACAGCTCTCTCTTGTCCCGACACACACCGTTTCTGACTCTTAGCCCGCATTAACACGGGACCACCCTTTCTGTGGGCCCCTGCCTTCAGCTTCTCGGCAGGCACACTCATCGTTTGACTCACACACAAATAGGAAAGAGTCCCTTTCATTTAAAAATACCGACTGTCTGGCTCACACTGACTGAACTGAGGTGAGTGTCTTAAAAACAATGAGCACTACCCAGCTGTCAAGGCTGCGTTGGAGAGTTTAGAGGCAGATATAGCTGCAGGGTGGAGAAAATGTTTAAATGTCAGAGGCCACAGAGAGAGCACTTAACAACATATTACCTAAGGGATCATCTGTGTGAGAGGGGTTTTTGTTGCTTGCCATGAATCATTACACAATACACAGATATTTGGGAAACAGAAAGTACCACTACTGACTGAATTAAGGGGTGGGAACTTGATGCAGTATAGTATAACGGTCTTTTGCGTGGTGATTTTGCATCCATAGAGGAACACCAAATACTACAAGAGGGCTCAAGTCTCATGATAGAAGGCCACCTTTCTGAAAACAGTCGCAGCCTGACTTGGACGGACTGCAGTCGCTCTCAGAGAAATTGTCAAAGCTTTGAAAATAATTCCTGTCTGATTTACAAATGCAGACAAATTATCAACATGTTGCCATCACTCTGAATGAGTGTGTCAATAAGCACAACACAAGGGGACTCAACTCCAGCACAGAACGAAGGATCAAACAGATGTGGTTTTTTTCGTTACAGTTAATATCTGTTTTATCAGAATCAGACTGCATATAATTGCCAACTTGACCCCATTCAGCCACAGACTGATATCAGACTGACTCAGGTATTGACCAACTTTAACTTTAAGGACATCATTTGCAGTTGGGGGAAAGAATAAAAAGGGGTATCTGTTCCCACTTTAAGCATCTTTATAGGTCCTGTGACGTACCCATCCCACTGACAGCATTTATCCTGGTGTTACTTCCACTGCAGCTGCACTGCATAAACGCTAACTGATAGTTACTCTCTTCAGATTTATCCATTCCCTTCCTGTGGACTCAAAATAATGGCGGCAAAATAAGTACCAGGAAATGAGCAGGACAACACACCAATCACAGTGGTCGCGGGGTATGTTAATGCAAACTGTAGCTACATTTCTAGGAAGGTGCACATCAAGTTATAAGTTACACTGTAGGGTTTCAGAAGGGCTACAACTTAGATTCATTGCTGAAGTATAAGTGTTGGAAAACAGACTCAAAAGCAGTGTTGGGAGTGCTGAGCACTTTAAAGGAGGAAGAGGCAAGCTTAACAATATTGCTGTGTTTTAGAAGACTTTGACTGTTAAAAGAAAATATAAAAGAACAGAGCAATAATCCTCTA